TGAAATTAATAACGATTTCAAATTGATATTTCTAAACATTTTTATATAAGCGCATGTGAGTTCTTCACAGATTTCGAAAAACAAAAGCTTCACGCATGCGTGTTCAAAATTTCTGACGTATTGGAGCTAAAATAAAAACAGAAGAGCGAATTGAAAACCACCTATTTTTTAGTCACGAAATTTCGATTGCAGTCGAAAATGGGAATTCTCGGTTTGAGGTCAATTTCGACTACAGTCGAAGACGGTATGTAAAGGGTTAAGACCTTAAGTGTGCAATAGGTGTGACTATGTAACACAGTGCAGTTATGTGTACCTACAGTCATTTGGCCTTTTTTAGGGACCATTTTTACCTACCTTTCAGTACAGTGGACATACATAATAATTTTTTTTATCTAATTTTTTTAGATAGGCACATCTTTGGATACAGTTGTTTTACAAATCAATACAATTCCTGAAGCTAAATAAAATTCTTTCAAGAGGTTCCGTTCCGTTTTAATTTTTAATAGTTTTGCATTATGTGTCCATTTGCTGTTTTATGGGTTTTCCCATTTGCCTTTTAAAATTTATTTTTGTTTTATTTTTTTATTTATTTTTTTTAAAATTTAACGTATAATATTTCTTATATAAAAAAGTATCTCTTCGGAGATCTCGTTTAAAATGCTTAAGAAGAGGGTATCACATTGACCTCTGTTTCATGTGTGTGCTTTTAATACTATTGTATCGGCATACCGTAGAGCGTGAAATCAATTGCATATTACATGTTACTAATTCTTTCTTCCCAATTTTGTATATTTTTTATTTTTATATCACCCAGCACTATAATGTTTATAATAATAATTTTGCCTGTATTCTTAACAGATGTCAAGTTCATTGAGTAGTTTCACTTTCACATCTGATTACTTAGAACCTGAAATCCTTCCTTAAACTCAAGTAATTACCCATACCACCTTCTGTTGTCAGGGTCTCCATGTTGAATTGGAATGTTGTTAGTTGTACATTTCTTTATTTCTTTTGGTTTTCTCCTATTGTTTTTTTTTTATTGTACCATAAATGGTCTATTCTAATTAACTTGGTTGCAAAAAGACTCTAGAATCAACACTCTCTCAATACAGTACAGTATATGGTATATAACAGTTAAATTAAATTCAGTAGGTAATGAAATTTTGAATTTTGTGATGTAGACAAACAGTAATGAAACAACATTTGAATAGTTTCTCGAGACCAGCACACAAAAAGTAAAGTATGATATTAAGGATTGTTTTCCATCTCATCGATTCTTCAGGCAATGACTAGCGACGTTGGTTTTAATGAAATAACATAATGTCATTATTGATAGATAGGATGTTTCAACAGGATTTACACATCATACATTTTAAATGCTGTTGCAGTCTTCATTTGAACATTCCCATAGGATTAATACTCAATGTTTTTAGACTCATTTGCACATGTTTATCTGATAAACCAGGACATAAATGCAAGGGGAATGAGGTACTGACTCAAGCAGTAGACAAGCTGTCCTCAGTAGCCCATTTAAGTAGTCAGGCATTGGCTAGTTTACAGCCATTAATCTCAGTCTCGTTTAGCTGCCATCATGTCAACTCAGAGAAAATGCTATAAAAACACTGACATTTGAATTGAAAACTGTTTTGAAGTATATGTGTGAATCTAATTGTATATTCTAGAATAAACATACATCGACAAACTAAAATTTCTTATCGTCTGTATGAACCTCTATTTATGATTCAGAAATTTGAGGATTTAATGGAACTTTATGAAGGGTATCACAACAATAAACTGATCAGAACGGATTCCTTATTGTCAAATATGAGCCATTAATTCACTAAACATCTGGTATTTAATTACATAACATCCATTCTGTAAAATTGATTGCATTTATTGAAAATGTGTTGGTAGGTAGGAATTACATATACAGTAAATAATAAAAAAATAATGTATACATGGTAATAATGAATGATGATAATGAGGAGATGATAGAGATGATGATCAAGTGATAATGGTGATTATTATGGAATGATTAAATATGAAAATTATTAAAATAGCTAAATATAATTTTATTTAATAATGATAATATTGATGCAATGATAGAGATTGATGATAATCATGCAGTGATAGTGATTGTGATGACGGAAAAAATGCAAATAGTAAAATAAACTGATAAGAGGACAGTAGTGGAGTTGGAAGTAGAAATGATAATGGTGACAACTATTACGATGTCGATGATGATGCAGACCTGCTAAGTGTGCATTTAGCGTGAACATTTTTCCCATGATCCCATTTGCATTTGTAGTCACACATTTTTTTACTGCATAGGCTGTGCATGTGACAAGAGTGGAATGTAGTAAAATAAATGCAGGCCCTACTAAATGAAATAGATTTCCTGAAAAGAACTTAATTGTGTCCATTTCCTTCATGTACTCTGCATCTGTTAAGTGTTTAAATAAGCATTTTTACGACAATCTAAATGTGCTACATTTGTAAAAAAATTGTTCACTTCTGCCCCAACCATGGTGCAGCTTAGGTGGTGTGGATTTCCCTTTTGTAAGTGTCATGCATTTTTCTTTTCAATAACCTTGGTAGGTCTGATGATGTTGCCAATGATAGTAAAGATGATGATAGTGATGACAATGACGATGTTGATGAAAACAATGCTTGACATAGAAACAATGAACCTTTAAAAACAACGATTTTATGACAAAAAAGCCAGTGATTATTTATTTTATTGAGGTCCCTGTGGAGTAGTCACTCATAGTAGTACTTTACAGAATTGAGCTTTTAATGGTTCTAAGAAGATTAAGCTGTATTATTGCCATCCACACATTGTCATTAAAAGCACTCATGGGCCACTAAAAGTTCAAAAGATCAGATAATATATTATCTGTTTGCCATGTGTACAGTATGTGTATATAAAGTAGGGCTATCTGTCACATAATGTTAATGTTTTGTGTAATATTGTACCATACCATATATATCTTATCTATTTTAAAATGATAAAGGGTGTTCCAATATAAATTGATAGTTTATATAACTATAAAAAATAACTATAATTATGGCAAATAATTAGGGGGAATGTTGCTGATAGTTAATGATAATAAATAGCAAATTATATTCATTAAAAAAATAGCAGTACACTAGAATTCATTAATTATACAGAGTTATTCAATGGAAAACAGTGAATAAAAAATGACATTTATTATGCATACAGTACACATTTTTCAGATTACAGGATATTGAAAAAATTTACACAAGGTACATTTTATAAATTTAAGAATATTAAATACTATTTATTATTTGTAAAAGCATAGGCATAATGATTCCAAGATTATTTTTTGGTATTAGTCTTGATTTACTTTTAGGGAAACATTTGGATTGTTTTAAAAATGTTTTATAATTTGGACATTTAAATTAAAATTGTATACTTTTCTCTTTTTCAGAAGAATTTTACTTACAAGCTCGTGTGCTGAACAAGCCGTATGACATCTTTGGATGTTGGCTAAACAACTCCTATCTATTGTCTGGTAATCTCCACTACTTGGGCCATCTTTCGTCTTGCTCTGCACTCTGGTTGAACAAGGCTATGCAAGAAGTTGACTCAGAACAGGAATCAGTAGTCATGCGCATATTCAAGTTCCTTAACATTAATGCCAGTACCATTCGCAGTATCATGGTTGCCAATTGCAGCGCTCTTGGACGAGGACTTGCAATGGATGATGGAAAGGACATGACGGCCGAAAGCACAGGTGTACCAAGCTCGAGCGATTTCTTTCATAGCTCCAGTGAAAGTGAGATTGATAATAGGACAAATGCCTGGGAGAGTGACTTGGAAGGTACAGGTGAGATTGATCATAGTACTCATCATGATGGAAAGAGGACTTGCAGTGAGGGTGATATTAACCAGTCATTTGAAACAGGAATCTTGCATCACAGTGAGAGTGAACCATGTTTTAAGGCTCCGCCAAGTCCAGCACTTTCAACAGGGGAGGTCGAACCCAGAAGATCAGTTTCACCTAGAATACAGATTCAGGGCACACCACAGACAGGTGTCGGTACCAAGAGTTCTTCACTGAAGCGTGATGTTAGCTATGTGAGCAGTACCCCACCAGACCTTACCAGGAAAAGTCTCCGCACCAATGCAAGAGGAATGTACACAGTGGGAGTGTCTCCAGCTGCAAAACTTGATCCTGATAGTTGCTATCAACGGCTGTGGATGCGTGTCAGGGAAGCAGAAATGCGCAGAGGTGGACATCTTGATTATGATATCCTGAAGATTTTAATTGATGGTGTTGATCCGGAGGTTGGTATGGAAGAATGCCAAGCCAGTCCTTCTGGGTCCCAATCTAGGAGGTCACCAGCAATTCGTTCACCAAGAATGGAAAGTCCATCAGAACTTGCTAACACACAGTGGCCCCGAAATGGAGATGAAAGGGACCCTCAAGAAGGCCCATCAACTTCCCGGCAAGCTTTTCGTGAAGGACTACCACCAGATTGTCCTCTGTCCCTATGTAGCTCAACAGATACAATGCTTTCCAGTCCAGACACTGACTTGGGCTCAAGGACTTTCGCAACTGATAGCGCAAGTGCCAGTGATGTGATTAGGGCTTGGGGTAAAAAATTCACTTTTGGTAGTACAGATAGTCTAGATGATGAGCCAGCGATTCAGTACTCAGACCGGAGGTTTATTAATACAGAATTAGATGGTGCACGTAACATCATGGCAATAAAGAATGGTGCTGATGAGAATTACCTATCTAGCAGTAGTTTCTCTGATTCCCACGAAGCAGCCACACATCTTCGGATTAAACGACGCATCAAAAGGAGCACGTCAAAAGAAATCAAGCATCTCATATTCACAATGGGTTCTAAAGCTTACACTCCACATCAGATTGGCATCAAGAAGATTAGGAAGGAAATGTGCAATACCTTAAAAGGTCCTTTAGGAAAGGGAGCCTTTAATTTGCCTCGGCAAGATGATGCCGCAGCAGAAGAAATTGGAGATGAGCAGGGTATAGACTTTGATAAGGTGGATCATGTTATTGAGTTAAATGGCCATGCAATCGGAATGGCACTGTCACCAGACCAAAGGTAAAGCATCATCTTTCAATGTCCTATTTTATTTTATCACTATTGCTATAATTTCATTATTTTCATATCTAGGTGTATTGACGTTGGGGACATGATGGAGGGCACGAAGATTAAGTGGGGGGTGGGGGTGGCCTTGATGAATAATTGAGGATGATTTAGTGTAATTTTTTGGTTAAACAATTTTTTTGTGGTTTGTGCCCCATGAAGGCCCCCCCCCCCGAATAGATATGCAACTGGTCGCGTCATCATCACAATTTACTACCATTAATGTCATCATTTAAAAAAATCATGTTTTCCATTTCTATGCATATGGCAAGAATGAGGATAGAAATCGTAAGTGCAGCCTGTGAAAGGAAGAAAATCCTTTAATTAAGCTACACTTCCATACATAAGAAAAGGATTGACTACTGTACACTAAAAGATCTATACAGTATACTGCTTTACCTCTTGTAATGCTTGCTTACTGGTGAGATATTTTATATAACTAGATTCATGTATAGGTGTAATTTTGCCCTACCTGACGTGGAAATGTACCGAATACTCAGTACATTTGAAAACAACTGCGAAAAAAATCGCAAGTTGTTCTCAGGTGGGACTCGAACCCATGATCTCCAAATCACTTGCCTGGCATCATACCTCTAGACCACCGAGCTTGCGCCTGATGGCCAGGGTTGAATTCATTTATGTTTATTATGTGTGTTTTTCAGGTTTCTGTATGTGAATTGTCGGTGTTGGCCACCAGAGTACCGGATTTCTGACCCCCTAGCACCACCACCAATTGCTCAAGAGATTGAGATCAGAGTATATGACCTGGTGGATCTCACTGAAGTTAAGCGTTTCCATGGACACAAGGCATACTCACCCAACGATGAATTTAACTTCATTTTTCTTGATGTTAGTGATCAGTATGTTGCAAGGTGAGTTTAGTACACATTTAATTTTTGTTATAATCAACTTCTAAAGTCACTATGTTTAAGTTGCCATAGCATCAGTTTTCTGCACCTCAAAAATCATAGGAAATTTCCACATTTTCTGGCAAGTGTTAGATTATTTATTCTATATGAATGGTTTTTCTTACAAGGTAATCACTGTCAGGCAAACGCCTCTTGACCAAAATCCATATGAAACCAAATTCTATTAATCCACATATTTTATAAGAATTGTATTCTTAAGAGGAGATTAAAACCCATAGTATGTTAATTCTGCTAAGAATCTATAATTTACATTAGAAACATCAGGCCTACAGTATTGGCGAAAGACCAACATATTATATAACTTGTAAAAAAACATAATTTATTTTGGAACTAAGATTCATAGTATAAACAACAAACAAGTGCAACTTTAACTAATGTGTTAGGCCACAGGGCCCTTTCAGTATTACGCCACTGCTCTGTCTTAGTCTTGTCCCTTTCCTGCTCTCTCTGGGTCAGTACTCACCTCTGCCTGGAACTCTCCATTTCAATATTCCTTGAATATTATTTTAAATATTATTGGTTCTTGGTTTTAATAATGTAAAGCCGATTTATTTACACTGCGAATTGCCTTTATTTGTAATTGATTTTTTCTTTTAAAATTTTGAACATGTTTTTCTTGAATCTGTGTTGTTCATACCCTGCATGTGCCTGATTAAGCCATGACCTGGGTTTTATGTCGCATTCTTTTATTGTGTTTTTAATAAAGAATGATTTACTGTCTGTGTTTTTTGTTTGGCAAATAACCTATCCAAACAGTGTAGCATTGCTGTTAATCTTTCACCCTGTTTTGCGATGTGATATACCAACTGATTTTCTGAGAGGACAAATAAAAAAATCTTGAATCTTGTTATCTTTTTCACCCTTTTTTACTAATTTATAATAAATATCTTGAGTGCTTTACAATAGTATGATAGCCCATGTTTACATATATATTATAATGTTTATTTCTATTTTCAGTGGTGCTGAAGATAAACATGCATACATCTGGGACACACATTATGGGATTCTCATTGGTCGTCTCTCACACAATGATGTTGTGAACTCTGTGGCATTCAATCCACTTGACCCCGAGATGCTGGTTACAGCCAGTGATGATAACACCATCAAAATTTGGACGTCTAGAAATCAATTTGAACGTCAAACCACTAGAGTGTAAAACCTCTAGCTGTTGGTGAAATATTGACTTACTGTACTGTATTTGTAAATACTATTCTATAAATGCATATTCTTTTTACCTTAATTACCACTCTCTCAGCCCTTAAAGCACTTGTTTACTCAAATGTTATCAGTTATTTTAATGCTGCATTCTTTCTGAAATTAGTTGTCAAAATAAAACTTATGTTTTAAAATGTTTGTTCCAAACCCAGAGTCCTAGGTCTTGAATTAATTTAAAAGTCCTAAATCCAGTTCAAAGGGTCCTGAATTTAAATTTTACTATCCTGTAAACAATCCCTGTGTGCAGTTTGCAAAGTACAGTACTGTAAAACCTTGAATTAAAGCTCATGGCTTTTTTTTTTTTTTTTTTTTTTTTTGTGAATTTTGGATGGCTTCTTTTTGAGGCTACTTTTGCAAAGTAAAGAAGTTGGGGGAGGGGGTGGCCTCTTTTTAAAATGAATGCTGTAAATTTTGGGAATTATTACTATAAAACATTAATAGGGCCACTGTAACATCAGTCTGTGCCATGAAGTGTATTAACCGGCATTAAATCACCTAAACTACTGTATAAACCAAGCATGTTTTGAATTTATTTTTGTTTCCTTGAAATTTGTGTACGGTGTATGTAATGTACTATCTTGAAAACAAGCACATCTTTTCGTGCCCACTAAACTAACAAAGGGGCTTCACTTCAAGGTTTTTTACGGTATAGTATCATAGAAACTTCACTTCCCAACCTCAGATTTGAAAACTAGGGTATAGAGAGCTGGGGGTCCAACTAATATCCACTCAGCCTGATGGACTACACTTGTTTACAAATGTACTGTTTGCAAAATAAAAATTGGGAAACACCTCAAATAGTAAGTAATAACTACAATTAAATCGAAAGAAATCCTTAAATTCATTACCAGTCAATTTTAGGTTCTATGCAAAAGAATACAGAAATATATAATTTAAGTTTACTGTATTAACTTAAATATACAAATTAGGAAATTCAGATTTGTTTGCATATGACAGACATTACATTGTTAAATCACTATAAGTATTAAAGCAAAATACACCATATATTTTCCCTTGATTATACTGTTCCTACTTTTTGTGTACATTTTTCTGCTAAGATTTCATTCCAGCTGAACTTCATCATCAGAATTAACCTAATTGTTGTAATGATTGAACTTGTTTAACCACTCGGTGTGATTTGCTATCAGTAATACAGTATTTGTTATCGTTTGGTTTAATATAATTTGGTGCCATATTTTTAAAAATGCATATTTGTGTTAGATAGTCAATTGAGAAGATTATTTGGTGTTTTGTGTTGCTTTCTGTGTTTTGAGACACATTAAATATGAAGAGGTACTTTAGTGTAGGGTGTGGATGTACTGTATAAATGTAGATAACACTGATAGTACTGTAAACTAGAAACACTGTCAAGTAACAGACAATACTGTAAACATATTTAGACATTTGGAAAGATAAAGTAGCTATCCTATTAGTGCATGTCATCACAAAAAAAATAAGTCTACATCCAAAAAAGAGTGTTTTAGTATTGAAGTGTGTCTAGATGTAATTGAGGCTGTATTGACTTGTAATACAGCTATACAAGGTTCCAGAATTCTTGATGTTTTATTTAGTGATTTGGGCCAAAATGAATTAGTTAAATCTTAAACCCAGATATTGGGAAACCTATTGACATATTTTACATGACAACAAATGTAACTCTGTATGCACTTTAATAATGCCCTTGTTATACTGCGCCTTGATGTCAAGAACTCGAAGTACTGTCATTTGAACAATGTGTATATAACTATCCCTTCACTTACACATAGCCCTTCCTCATATAATGGATTCAACCTGACAGCAGCATACATTTTATGTCAAAAAATATATTACTCTGTACTGATGTATCGGTATGATATCAGTATTATGATACAACTGTATTGGGGCATGTACGTAATGAAATGTTGCTGTGCAATAAGTTTTCAGTGAGAAAGAGCAATGAAACATTGTACATTCAACAACTGTTTTGTGCATTTGAATACAGTACGGCTAGAAGAATCATAGATTGGAGCCCTGAAAGTTCATTAAAATGTTCAATTATTGACTAAAATCTTGTGTGTTTGTTTGGGAAAAGGTGAAGAAATTCACAGGATTCAAAATTATTCCAAAAACTATAAAACTGGTTATAAATCCTCCAGAAAACCTGAATATTTTATGAATTTTTAATAGTTTTTAGTTCAAAAGCTGCCATGGGCTAAACTGGTTCTGTACTAGAGAGAATAAAACTAAAGTAGTGTACAGTACTGAAATCAAAAGCATGCCACTTCACCAATTTCGTAATCTTGTGTAATGCTCAACTTATTTAATCATATCTCATTCATTAGGTAGTGTATCTACATTAATTTAGGAAAGGAATACTTTATCAGTTATGTAGAAATCAGTTGAACTAGCCTAAAGTCGAATCTAAAGTTTCACTGGAAAATTGTTTGATTTGAATAAAATTTGACTTCCAGATCATTCATTAATGCAAAAAACAACAATTTGGCATAAAAATAGGAACGACTTAGAAATTTTTTGAATTGGGTAAAGTCTACTTAGGCAAGTTTTACTGTATACCGTAAAGTATTATATAAAAAAGGTATAGTAAATCTTTTATTGGTTGAACCCTATATCTGCTGGTGCTTTATCTACGATCATCGGGTAGTCATTTACTGATCCCAATTAAATGAATTTCATAATTCACGATGAACTTATACCACATCCATAGGTCTATACTGTTTTTGCCGTTTAAATGCAAACCCTTATTGGTCCATCTTCTCAATGAAGATAGATCGGCAAGTAAATGCTCCATCAACTTTACCAAACTCAGAATTGGGCAGTGAAATCTTTGGACAATCTGGAAACTGTTCTTGGTAAACCTTCAAAAGCAAAAACAGAAATATGAATTTTAAAACATTCATAATTAGAAACATTATCATCAATCAGTGAATCTATAAAGACGCACAAGACAATGGTTCCTATGTACTAATGACTAAATAAATATTTAAAGGCTATTTTGAGCAATGTACCTTTGCGAAGTGCCAATCGAACTGACCAATCAGCACAGGGTTTGGAAAAACGTGCTTGTCCCACACACCCATGTGTCATATGTAATTTTATGCCATCATTTCGTGGGACCATAGTAAAAATATTTAAGGGGCAGGTCTAAGCTGAAAGGTCCATTCTCTCTTATATCACACCCCTGTATATGCTTACTTTATAACTAGCTGGGTATTCTTCTTCAGTGCAGTGTATCAAGGTACCATTGACGTATAAACAGTTAGCAGCGCTGTCGTCTGGTAGAGTGACGTAACGATACTCGTGAACGGCCTTCTCCATCATTTGCTACCAAGTAATATGAAGCACATTATTTTCCAGGAAAACATGTACAATAATTATCTAATTTCTAGAATTATAGTTAAAGGCTTTAAGCAACATTCAATAATGTATTATATTACAGACCCTATGCGAATGATTATCAAAATATTATGATAGAGGAAACCTTGAGTGAGTCAGTAAATCAGCAAAACTTGATCTGTGTCTTACTGGCAGACAATTACATAATTTGATGCTTTCAATATTTTAATTGCATTTTTTCAGCACAAACTATTTTTATGAACCTATTAATATTATGATTAGAATAATAATAAAACAATTGTTATATACATATCTTTTGTAGCACTGTCACCTAGTATGATATGTATTCTTAATTATTTGCTACCAATGTTTAGGTCTACCAATAATAGCTTAGAGAAGAATGCTGGTAAAATATTAATATATAAAATCCTATTAAGAATATTGATGTTGATATAAAGACGATATAAAGACAATAAAAAAAATGGACAATTTGGAACTGTGAAAACAATTCCAGCTGTGAATGTGGATGCTGATAAGGAAAGGGGTTGCGATGAGAATGTTGGGATCATGTCAAATGAAATTAAAGATTGGCAATTTGGCTGAAATTCTCTTCACTGTACCTTCTTAGCATCAAGTGCATGTTGACTACTGCCAATAGCTACCACATCTGGTCCTGCCATAGACATTACAGACTTCAGATGAAGATACTCGCTGTTCATCTCTATAGGTGTTACCTGATAGTCTGGGAATGCCTTGTTCAGCTGTTTAATGCCAGCCATGTTGGTCCTTGATGTCACACCAACAAAGAATTCTCTTCCTTAAAAACAAAAACAAGTACCTGTATGAACAAGTATTCACCCACTTAATAATCACAGGTCTTATGTAGCTTCCTTCAGCGGATAGTCTTGTATAATGAATTCTAGTTGCTGTTATAAGTTGAAATGGAACAGTCGTAACAGGGTCAACAATGAGCAGGTTAACAGCATGACATGATACAAGTGACTGATTAACTCAAACTCCTGGCCTAACGATTGAGAGTAAGAACTGCATCCACTCCACTAACCGCTTTTGAGTTTATGTAATGTGAGAATGCTGGTTACAGGACTACAATCTTTTCGTAGATAGCGAAGTGAAACAGTGGATTGTGGACACAGTATATAGATAGAAAATTCAGACTATAAAGAGGGCTACACATGGCCTATGGGTACCCTAAAAAATAAGAGTGCCACATTATGTATCTTAACTGCAAGTGTTACTGTATGTCATTTTATATTATAAAAGAAACAGTGTGTGTTGTATGTCATACTTGAACCAACACATGTATCGATCACATGGTAGCCAAAGGTCCTATTAATCTTCAAAAAGTTATTCAATCACCTTCCAGTATTGATAGTTCAGTAATGTGAAGGCTTATAGGGTGTTTATTCGTGGTAGGCATTTGTTCATTTTTAGTTCTCCTTGCTTTATGCCTTTTATACAACCTCACTCTCGATCCTGCCACCTCCTCTCCTCACATTTGAACCGCTCTTTTTTTGCATAGTAGTAAATTTCCCATTGTGTATTGCATGTATTGTTAATAATTGGTGGATAATAACTCTTGATGGCTGATGAAGCACTAAAAATTGAATATTTTTAATTTGCTAGGGTTTAGTCAAGTCAATGCGTCCACCTCTAGGAATGTTATATGTTCAGCTATTGTTATCACATTACCAGGAGATTGTGATTAGATAAATCAAATTTTGGTTGACCGTTCAATTAATTCATTATTAGATGTTATAGAATAAGACTATTTATTTTCATGCCATCAGGGCAATGTTAACGTCAGCTAGGCCATAACAGTCCACCTGTGTAGGACTTTATTATTGTGTTGCTTGTCGCTGCTTTGTCAGGACATTCCTAGCGACTCATCATAATAATTTTGGGTGAGCGTTTAATAAACAATATTGGCAATTATTTAATTGCTTTGGCTAAACCAAATTTTCTGTACACAAAGGATAGTGTATGTTACTCAATATTAGAAATAGCAAGATAGGCAGAATCATGAATCTGGGCATTATATATCTTGCATTATCTAATGGTGATTTAAGTTGTGAAAATTATTGAGACGGAGTGTGGAATACAAGGTTCTGGTACTATACTGTACACAACAATCTAATTTGCTTACCAGTAAAGAGAACATCTCCTCCTTCTATTGTAGCATCATCATCATCCATCTGCACAATCTTCAGGTTTAAAGCAGGAAGTGCCTTAATAACATCATTTACCTTGATAATAAATGAAATAAATATTACATTACAGTATTAGGCACAGCACCATTATAATCATTAAGAAACCCCCAGACACTAACCATAAATGCTTACATTTCACTAATAGCCTATGACATTGTTTACAGAATTGGACATTAAAAACTTAATTTACCAGTCAACCAGATATTAATCGTATGAAAAACCATGATTTGGTATATCCCAATTTGTACTTTTCTGTAAAATTCTGGAGCTTGATTATATATCACTTAAAGGAATATGATGAGAAAACAAAGATAAATACAAATAATTGATATAAATTGATGTAAAGATTGTATGTAAATAAATATGTCATATTCAGTCTATATTAAAGTTTAAAAAATCTCATGGATTAAAGATTTTACTTAACAAAGAAATAAAATCAAAAACATTTTAGAAATGAAGTTGCAATAACATTCCAACACCCATTGGTAAAATACCTCTGGTCTACGACTGGCAAAGGAAGGCCGACATATAAATGCCACTCCCCCATGAATCACGGCAGTATCCTCAATAAAACAGCAATCCGGTAGTTTGTGGTCAACGGGAACCTCGTACAATTCCAAATTGAGTGACTTCATTGCATTCACATACTCCTCGTATTGGATGCATGCTTTATTCATATCTACGACAGAACCATGATCTGTACGTAGAGCTTCCTCTCCGCAGCTATCTGCTATTCCTCGCACCAGGCATCCAACTATGTTATTGAAATTAGCTTTATTGTTTTTGGTGTTTGTAGTCATTTTAATACTTGGATATGTTTGACTCTGAAAAAAATAATCAAAAAGTATATTACAGTGCAATTTTAATGACTTGCAACCCAACAAACTTCATTCTGCATAGAAAATAACAATAGGATATACCTACACTGTCCAATACTTTTATGAGTATATATAAAAATAATGGGAATTAAAAATATAAAGCTGAGAAGGGGTAGACCTAATGATGTTCTTAATGGTCTTAAACAGGTAGTTTTTAACTTCAATAGGCACTTTATAAGTCTTATTGCATTTACGATAGTCCCTTCTGTAAGGCCATTGCTACATAAAACAACCTTAACTACAGTATTGAAATACAAACTACTGTATCACCATATACCAACTGTGCTTTTTGCTCACTGATGCGTAGTGGTTGGGTATTTATCACCACATTCGAACTGGTAAAGCTCATTTGCGAAAAAAAAACCCCTAAATAAAGTTTCTATAGCCATTATGAATAATTTTAAAATAATGTAAGCCATACACTTAAAGTGGCTTTGCTTTTTGAAGCCAAATTTAGTTTTGTGTATCCTCACATAACTAAATTATAGCATTTTCCAAGCCGGCTAAAAAATCACAGCCAGCTAACTGATTAGACCACAAGTGGGCAAAGTGCGGCCCGAGGGCTGCATACGGCCCGACAGTGACTTTGTTGTGGCCCGCGAAAATGAATTAAAAACCTTATGTGTGCGGCCAGCCGCACATTTTTGACTGGAAAACACCTTGTTTTTTACAGCCCGATACCGAGATCATCTGTAAAAAAAATTGTTAAAACTGAGAATAAAGTGGTATAAGGTTTTTGGAAGCACTGTAAACATCAAAGTTTGGGTGCGGCCCTCTGTGTTAAATCAAAAATTCACTTTGGACCTCCAACCGATTTTTATACCCACCCCTGGATTAGACCATGGTATAGCAATGGTCTTTTATTATTAAAGACCCATATCTACATCACATGACATATTTAAATATACAGTACTACTACTCAAAATCTTAATAATCTTATCTGCAATACAAAGGAATGATGTCTAATAGGTGTATCTTGATACAGCATCACTATTACTGTATTGTTGTCTAGCATCAGCTTATAAAAGATAATTAAAATCACCTGGAAGGAATCTGTCACATTAGCTTCTGGTATTCTGTCCACAGATGATATATGTCGATATTGATGATGATACTTGTTGACAAGAGCTCAATGCAAAAATCGAAATGGCAACGTGTGTCTAATGATGACCATCTAACAGTTACAAATACAAACATTTTATATAACGCAACAGCACAAAATTATTTATTATTTCAAACTTGTAACAAGAGCAACTGCTCACCGGTCTGCATGTTCCCACACGCTTAAATACGGTACTGACTAACTAAATCCTTTCCGAGCCACTGGGGCTCATAGGGCTGGAGCTTATCCCCAGTTTCTGTAGTGTGAAGTGGATGAGAGTTGTACTCCCCTTGGACGGGACAAGTCCATTGCAGGTTAGTCCCAACAGTTTGCTGGTACCCATTGATACAGCTGGGTGGACTGAAGCAGTGTAGCTAAAGTGCCTTCCCCAAGGACACAATGGAATCTGCACAGCGGAGACTCGAAACCCGGACCCTGAAATACGGTACAGGCACAAATTATATATATTGGGTTTTTTGGAAGAGCTAATAAGATAGCAATTTTATTGGTACAAAAAAAATTATAATTTAGAATAATTTGTACAAAATTAAAATATCAAAATACAAATAAATAACAAATATCTTTACAAAAAAAATAAAAAGTATAGGCCTAATAACTCAGGCAACATAATAAATATAGTTATTCATATTATATAAATATACAGTATAATAAGCGTACGATATGGGGAAAATTTATATAATTTAATTTAAAGGCAAATGGGAAGCACCCATAAAACAGCAAACGGCCATATAATGCAAAAAAATTTTAAATTGAAATTAAAACGGAACAGTAGAGAAAATCCGATCAGAATGACAAAATAAACTAAGTATCCACTGGAAGGAATCCCAATATCTGCAGACGGATCCGTTTCGGCCTTCTAGGCCTCATCAGTGCAGCTAGG